ATTTGAGCTATCAAACAATATTAGTTTGCCTGGCTCGTCCAAAGGAATCCATTCCAGTCAAGATTCAATATGGTCAAAGACTGCTTTTGAAAGCACTGAAGCAGTCTTCATTCATCTTTCATTTTTTGTTAACAATCTCTTTTACTTTAAATCATATCAAATCAAGGGAATGAAAATTAAACTTTTTTTGATATCCTCCTTTATCGTCGCTTTCTACGTAGCTTATCGCATTGCTCTTCAGGGCCTTGGTGCTTCTTATTCCGATTTAACGCCTGTACAAAGTATCCTTGGAAACGTGACATTTTTATTTAGTATGTGCATGCAATCGTGGGCTCTTGCTAAGCACTTCTTCCAGGCTGTTAGAGCAAGAAAAGTGAAAACGTTTCTTTGGATAATAGGATCTACCCTCTTTACATTTATTGTAGCCACAATGGTTGCTTACTTGATTTATCCTGCGTATGACAAGCAAGACAAAACAGGTAAAGTTTATATTGCTTTATTCAGCCCTCTGATTGGAGTTGTTCTGAAAGCTTCCTCGCGCCTGTTTGTTCAGCGTTTATGGAGAATAAGTCATCCCGGAAAAACCTTTGTATATCTAGTACCACTGTATTATGGGTCTGCCGTCGTGCTAAGGCTTCTTCAAGTGGATCTGGATAGTTTGAAGGCAGTGGCTTTGATCGGAGCCATCCACGGCATCGCAGAGGTTATAGAAAGAAGTATTATAGTCTTGATTGACTACATTTACCATCAGATCTATGAAAGAAAACGTCTTTCTTGGGGAAGTTTTCGAACCGCTCGATGCGAGAGATTAGCGACAGATATTGCCATAATGAGTATGCTTTATGAAGCAAGTGCTGTTATCTCCGTGAACGGCTTTCTTCACTTGCATGAATATTTCTACACAGTGGACAAGACATCACTGGAATTGGTTCAGTCGTTTGCGATCACTACAGCAGTTCCACTGATTATAGAGTGGTTCTTCACGTGTTTGAGTATAGCTATTGAGACGCGGTATCAGAACAAGTCAATTATGGCAGTCTGGCGAAGGCAGTGGAAAATACACTTGACCGTGGCAATGGTAAATACATTGCCAATAGCTGCTTGGTCAAGCCTGAATCTTTTGACCTCAATTGAGGGACGATTCCCTACTGTTGTGGACTATTGCGAGATGCCATTTAGCCATTTATAGAAAATAATTTTAGAGGTTTTAGCTGGGGTTAAGCTTTAATGGTAAGAGTGTGCATGAGGGGAAGCGAAAGCTTTTCTTGATTTTAAAAAAAGTGTTCTAAGAGATAGCCGTCCTGATTTTTGCTCTAATGTTATTCGTAAAAGCGAACTGTGTGCACAACAATGTCAATGAGTATTTCGAAGGAGGATGGAAAAAGAAAAACAAAAGGGTGTCCAAGCATTCCCTTTTTCTTCAGAAGTGGAAACTTTCTATTGGTTGAAAGGGGACAAGAGTGCCTTTACCTTGATGACTTCCTATCACGCGGATGTCAGTGCGCGCGTAAAGGTATTTGCTGCAAGAAGATTAGCTACAGACTTCAACTGAAAGGTTGTAACAATTCTGCCAACTGCATTTAGTAAAACTCTCAGCACCAGCTTGTCGTAACAGGAAAAGAAAGAATACGCGGAGATTCTGTACGGGCCTGGGGCAGTTTCGGCTCCCTTCCTCTTTAGCATCCACGGATTTTTGGAAACAGACTATTTGGAATCGAATAATTGTTTATTGTTGGAAATTGATACTTTTCTTCCAAACAACCGGCGCTTAGTTTCATATAATAAATCACAGACTAGATCATGTCATCTGACTTGTAATCATTGCAAATACTTCCGTTGTCAGCCATTTCATTATTTCAGCTTTATTTATCCTATTACTACTATATGTAGTACATGTAGATACGGCCTTTCCAGATTCTGCTCCGAAAAAGTTAAAAGGTTGCTAAGAAATATGCCAAAAAGTTGCTCAAAAGTTGCTCAATATTGAAAAAATTGCCCAAAAATTTTGCTAAAGTTGCTCGAATATTTTTAAGACGGCATGTCTAATTTTAGTAACAATTGCTTTTGTAATCAACACTAAGGTACAACTAAGTAACTAGTTACAACAAATTAGGCAACCTTCAGTTGAATATAAGTGGCTAGTCTGATCTGGTCAGCCATTTTGTTTACATACAGTCCTCAGGCTACCGCAACCTCGTTCCCAGGGCTTTTCTCTCTCGTGGGGGGCGCCCCCCAGGAGAAGGGAAAAACCCTGGGAACGAGGTTGAGGCTACCCAATAATAAGGTATTAAGTTGTTTGAAGCCACAAGCTGGTTTTGCTGAACGAGAAAAGAAGCTATACTGCCGCCTCGATTGCTCTAGTGAATGGCTGCATAGCCTGTATTTGAAGCTGGTTACTTGTGATTTATATTCTTGACGTCGGATAAACAAGCTGCAGTTATCTATCGGCGAGTGACTCGATCGGCGAATGGCTTCGCGATCATGAAGAAACAACACTTGTCTTCTTTCGTAGCTGGTCAAGGTACTTTAGTTCCATGTGTTTTCATGTGTTTTTCGACAAACTTTCAAACAAGCTCTTGTGGCTTTTTTGTTTGTTTTTGTCTTTTGTCTTTCGATGAAATTGCATTTCTAGTATTCTAAGAAATGAATTAAAACGATTTGCTTCGGGCGCCGTTCTATCCTTCGCGCAATAAAATCTCAGCTAGCTTCCAATTTTAAACTGACGAGTACACCGACCATATATGGAGAGCATGGTATAATAGCTCATATACCATAACGGCTAAGCCAATCAAAATGCTAGAATTGCATTATCCAATGATTCAGTTTTTAATAAAGAGTGATATTTGTTCCGATACACATTATTTATTTATACTCGAAAACATGGAACTTGCTAAGCATTTAGCTTCTGAGGAGCTAATGCGTCTGTTTTAAAAGATAAATACAATTAAATTAGTTAAAACAAAATAGTCAATATTATATCAACTATTTACATGGCTAAAAACTATAGGATAATAGTAAAAACCATTGTTAGCTACATGATAACAGAACTGAGAAAAGGGGAAATGGGAAAATCAGAAAACATTATCCGTAACTGGTTGGTAATGCATTAGGTAACAGTGACAAGCGTCAAAGTATGCAACTGTATGAATAAATATTGTCTCAAAGTGTCTTAATATTAAAGCATTGAAGCTTTCGACTACTTCTCCCAGTGTCTAGAAATAGACAAATTGTTGCAATACACAGTCAAAATTGAGTTCCGATGCTTTGATAATAAGCAGAGATCTTTAGAGAAGAGTAATTTATACAAGGTCAAGAATACCTAAGCACACACAGTCAGGTCAAATATCCATCAATCGTTAAAGTCAGTGACTTCCGTATTATCCTTTTTCTGTCTTAGGCACATTCTTGTGATACGATGCAACACCAATTGTTTCCATAAAACCCTATTTTTATACCTTGTCAAATATGTTAACAGAAATATTTCGTTTCTTGTCATAATAAGGCTCCCTTCTAGCTACTTCTGTATTCTTCTGATTCTTTCCGACAATATCGTTTGATGTGATATTAAATATGACATTGGGATAAAATGTTTGATTCTGATTTGTGTCATGTAGCAACACTCCTTTATTGCATTTGGTGCAGAATACCGGGTGAAAGATAACATCGTTATTGTTGTGAACTACATTCGCAGGGAGACATATACCCCTAGTTCAGAACAATTGATAAATACTCTTATTAACAAGCATGCAGTACCGTTTTATGTGAATGCAGGCTATGGAAGATGATTGAAGCTGAAACGGCAAGATGCCTAAATGTTTTTTGCCTATTTTTTTTCAAGTTACTAAAAGAACGAATGACACTTAAAAGAATAATAAATGACACATTTTCTCAGCAAATGTTCTCAGATAATCAGCAAACGATCACATTGCACATCACTAGCTGTTCTTAAGACTTACGGGTTTACAGACGTTTTTGACATTTTGACATTTCATTTCGGTTTCGCCGGCTTTGCAATAACTATTTAAACACACCAGTATCTGAAACCTCGTCCACTAGGAAGTTCCGTGACCGACTTCAATGTACAATCTAGTATTTAAAACTTAAGAAAAACAACTTTTGACAGCAACTACTTCTTTCATTGTTGGAAACCTTTTTTTGCATCGTGATTGCATCGTAAACATCCTTTATAACTGCTTGAAACCGTAACTGAAACCGCCTCAACTGCTCAAACTACGGTATATGATTAATTAGGCGTGATTCAATCGTAAACTATAATCAGCCTTGATATTTTGATCTGACCGGCATCAAAAATGGTTAGAAGTGCTCTCGTGGAAGTATGTGGAAGTATAATTTTTGGATTGACACGCAGTGTAGCTGAACATTACGACCCAAGTTGGGTCGAGTTTGATCCAGAAACTTTCGGTTTTCATCTTCTGGAAAGCACGGGCTTAGAATGGAACAGTGATCCCGTTGACGAGTTTATTTTCCAAGAGTACGGTGACAGAGAAGTCCGCAGAAGTGCTGTTCAACGCATTACAGACGCTTGCTCGCCAGAAGACCATGATGACTCACAGGATGAACAAGAATACAGAGCAATGGAGTGGAAGAAATTTAGACCTTCGAAAATACGTACACTTTGGTATTCAATGTACTTTGGATTTTTTATTTCCATATTGGCTGCCACACTGATTGGAACGTTCTCTATCCTTGTGTATTACGTTGGTTATCAAGTCACATTAGTTTGCCTGGCTCGACCGAAGGATTCCATCCCATCGAAAATCCAATGGTCGAAAACCATTTCTGAGTGCATGGAAATCATTTTTCTTCATCTTTGGTTTTTTGTTAATACTCTGTTTTTCTTTAGATCGTATCAAATCATGGGACTGAAAAGTAAGCTTTTCCTGGTATCGTCCGTTTTTTACGTTTTAGATGCTGCTTATCGCATTGCTCTTCAGGCGCTCGGTATTTCTCGATCAGAGTTAACGCCTTTGCAAAGAATCCCTGGAAATATTTTATTTTCGTTTAGTATCGGCGTGCAATCCTGTGTTCTTGCTAGGCATTTTTTTCGAGCTGTCGTCGGACCAAGAAAACTAACGTTTCTCTTGATGATAGGATCTTGCGCTTTGACTTTTACTGTAGCTATACTGGTTTCTTACCTTATTTATCCAGCGTACAACAAGCAAGACAAAACAGGTAAAATCTATATTGCAGTGTTCACCCCTCTGATAACGGTTGTTTTGAAAGGTTCATCACGCCTTTGTGTGCAGCGTTTATGGAGAATAAGTCATCCAGGAACGTCGTTTCTGTTGCTTGTGCCGCTCTATTATGGGTCGGCTGTCATGTTAAGAGTTTTGCAAGTGGATCTGAGTACTCTAAAATCCGTGGCTTTGATCGGAATAATCCATGGTATTGCAGAGGTTATAGAGAGAAGCATCGTTGTATTGATTGATTACATTAACCATCAGATTTGTGAAAGACGACGCATTTCTTGGGGAAGTTTTCGCACCCCTCGACGAGAGAGATTAGCGACAGACATCGCCATAATGAGTATGCTGTGTGAGGCAAGCGCTATTATCTCCGTGAACGGCTTTCTTCACTTGCATGAATATTTTTACACTGACGGCAAAACAGTAGTGGAACTACTTCAGTCATTTGCGATCACTACAGCAGTCCCACTGATTATAGAGTGGTTCTTCACGTGTTTAAGTATAGCTATCGAGACACGGTATCAGAACAGGCCAATTATGGCAGTCTGGCGAAGGCATTGGAAAAGGCACATAACCGTTGCAATTGTGAATGCATTGCCGATAGCGATTTGGACAAGCACAAGCCTGTTGATCGCTATACAGGGAAGATTCCCCAAAGAGAGAGACTACTGTGTATTGCCATTTACTCATCCTTAAGTCACAACTTTGTAAGGGACGGGTCATTAGAAAACTGATGGGGGGTGAGAGTGGGTAATTTTTGGCTCGCCCGGTTTTATTTTCCTAGCCGATTGTCTTCGCAAGAATTTTGTTTTGGAGTGTACCCTTTGCAGGATTTTTTAAAAAAAAAATTGGTTCTTTTTTGGCCATTAAATTAGCTTAAAATGACGTTGCTTTGTTTTATTGCGGAGGTTGTACGGGTTGGAACATTCGGTTAGAAATTGTCACTTAATACTTTCTCAAACATTGCCCAAAATTTCACTTTCATGCATTGATTCCGTATTCTTCAAAGTACGCTTATTTCAACTTGATGGACAATACCACCAGCTAAAGTGTGTAAACATACGTTGGTAACAAGCGGTTTCACGTTAAAGCTGCAGTTCAGCGGTCTCTGTCACTGACAAGTTTTTATTAGGGTTAGCTTTTGGCTAGGGGTTTCTATATAGTAATCTTAAACTAGGTTAAATAGTGCTGGCTTTAGCTGAGGTAGAAAGCATGATAAAATAAATTAAATTTAATAATGGGAGAGGTATTAAGAATTAAAAAAGTTTTTCATAAATGACTGTTTTTGATAGTACACCTATTCAAGGACTGTCCCAGGCGGAATCGTGCCTTACATTAACGCTCTTATGCGACCAGGGAATTTAATAAGTTTTTCATGAAAATCTTATGCTGTGGGAGCAGCCTGGATTTCACAGGCCGTCAGATCACTGTGTAAATCCTTGTATTAACGTCTTCTACAGAGCCTACTCTTATGCTCAATCTCTTGTTATAAACACTGGTACGCCTGTCCAGAAACTACAGCTTTACAACTGACAACTGAATATTAAGTTTTACTGTGTGGGTGGGGGGGGGCTGTAAACTTGAAAAGCATTGCAACCTACTAGTGAACGGCTTAAAAAACGTCTTATGCAGTTCTAACCTTTTTTTTTAACCAAACCTAAGGAAATTTGCAGTCATTCGAATGAAAATGAGAAAATGCAAGGGGTGACAGGCCGCACCTCTATACCGGCGTGAAACCTTGTGTAAACCTTTTATATTCTTAGGTCTAACGAGCATGTCCTTTAGGGATTTTCCTTTCTTGTAGGAAATGATAGGTGGTTCTTTGAAAATTTGGCGAAGTAACGGTTGGTTTTGTTTAAGATTCCAGTTTTTCATTAAAACTTCTTTTAAAGTAGACACTGAGGGCTGGTACTGTGTCATGAAAGGCAATATTTCTTTTTCCTCTTTGTTATGTTTCATGAGAGCAGACTCCCTCTCTGTGAACTTTATATCTGATAGAAAGTTTTCTATCATAGTTTGTGGGTAGCCTCTGTCAATCAGGCGTTTTTTGAAATTTGAAATATTTTCCTCAAACGTAGTTTTGAGGAGTTTGTTCGTAGGATTCTCAAGGCTTCTCCTTTGAAAAATCCTTTTTTAACACTTGGCGGGTGACAAGAGGTGAAATGTGTGTACTGGAAGGTTTCCGTTTTTTTAAAATGTGTCTTTACATCAAGGATAGATTTTTCCTTGAATCTTGTGCCTTTGTATACAATCGTGTCTAAAACCACAGTCTCAGTGTCAGATATTTCGGCCGTGAATTTGATAGTTGGGAGGTGTAAGTTCGCTTGTTCGATGAAGGCTTCGATGTCTGGTTTACTGATGTTCCAGAGGGAAAAGATATCGTCAATGTAACGCTTCCAAACTGTAGGTTTAATAACGGTTCTGCTTAGAATTGTTGTTTCAATATGTGCCATGAAAATATTGGCAAAAGAAACTGCTGTCTTTGTACTCATTGCAGTGCCATGGGTTTGTAGGTAGTGTTTAAAAGGTTAAAAACAGTTTTCAAAAATAGCTTTAAAAAACATTCAAAACAGTGTTGGATTTGGCAAGGGAGGTTTCTTGAGCTCGATCAGCTCCAAAATCGCTGCCATGAAGAAAAACGAAAGGAGAAAAAGAAAGAACGAGGAGAAGGAAAGGAGGAGAAGAGAAAAAAAGCAATGGTTGCAGTGGCGGATCCAGGTGAGGCACCCCCCCCCCCTCTTATTTTTAGACCAAACTTAGGTCCGAAGGGGCCAAAAAAAGATTGCTATTCGTTCTATTATTTTGAGTCTGACTTCTCTTTTAGAATCAATATATGAAATAATATGAAATAAGAAGGGTAGCGAGAACTCTCGTTTTGCAATCAGGAGGTAGACAACCTATGTTCAAAATTAAATTAAGGTTTCGACCAGACTTGGGCGTACAATAAAACGGCTTGGGCTTCACATTATAAATCGACTTACATGTATATCGATTTGAAAGCCGGGGATACAAGGGAGTTCCTCCCGTTTATAATTTATACCAAAGAGACTATGGAAATACGATCGAAACTTCAACTGTTGACAGCCCTGAACTTGGTAATATATTGAAGGATAAGAAAGATAAACTGACCAGTGATAATGAAAAAAGAGAATTCAAAAAAAATCGATGGCCTAGTTGATCATATGAAAGTGAATTTGATAATTTATGATTCTTTAAGGAAGTCTATAGCTCTTGGTCAAAAACATGTGGAAAAATGTCGGATCCCTTTTGATTAAAAGGATTATTTTACTATAAATATTTATCGTACTTTTTCTCTTAACTGTCTGAGACTGCAACAAACTAAAAAATATACTAGGGCTATATTTTTACCAGAAAAAGTGTCTGAAATTTATCGACTTAACCAGAGAAACTTTTCAGTATTTCTTTCAATTGCGGATCCTAAGCATATTACAAGTGTAGCCATTAATGTATCCTCGTATCTAAACAAAAAGTGCGATAATAATACAGATACTAGTTTTAACTAAATACATTACAAGTTGCAGTTGGTTACGTTTTCGGTAAACAACATGTGAAAGGCATTGGGTGCTGCAGGGCCGTCTCTTCCTAAAGTTTTTAGAACACCCGGTATGAACTTGTCGCTACTTATACTTTCTTAAACAGGGACCAAACTTTCTCTTTCATGCATCGATTCAGTATTCTTCTTATCCTTAATGTCTTATTGTTTATTTTAATACCCGGGGGTGCACTCCCTTATGTGGACTAAACAAGGATGAGCCGCTGAAAAGGCCGTATGTCCGTTTTTTCGATCACTCTCTGCAAATTTCGTGGGATCCTGTCCTAATTATAAACAAGGTATCCGGCCTGCACGATTGATTTGATTTGCTTGATGAAATTTGTTTAGACTCCAAGTATAAAAAAGCAATGACTATAAAGTAAATTTGTTCTATTGCAATTGCCATTAGTTAATGGCTTAATTCAAAACAAAATGTCGGGCATTTTGTCTTTTTTCCTAAACGGGTAATAAAATTGAGGGTGTTGTCCTAAACGGGGTATGTATTTTAGAAATTCTGTCGTAATTGGTGTCAGGGTTTTAAAACCATCAGCGGCTCACTTGAATACGTAAATATTGATCAAGAGTAGCCCCCACTCGCAGCTTAAGTGTAAAATATACGTACGTAAAATCCTTTCACATGTACTTGTTAAACCTGCGGTTTAGCCTCTGTCAGCTGTCTGACCTCTGTCATTTTTTATAATTAGTGGTTCCTTTTGGAAGGTGAGGTGCTGCGAGCAAAGGGTTTAGTTATCATTAGTTTTTAATTCTTGGAGAAAATATTGCCTCCCACCGCGCACATTCGCTCAGTTCAGTTTGTTTGTCACAGAACAGAGAAAATCGGCTCAACTCGTGATTTTGTCTGTAGGTCACTTAACGTCGCTCCTTTCACATGATTTGCAGTCAACAATGATTTTGAATCAATGATGTTTTGAAAGAAAAAAAAAAACAACACAACTCCTTAAGAAACACGGTAGCAAAGCAGTACAAATTATTACAACACAAACTGTCAAGTCTCTAGCTTGTGGGTTGTGAAATTCGCAAAAGGACGCTAAAGAGAAAGCACGTGCTTGAGCCAACGTTGAAATGGTCAGCTGTGTTGCTGATCCACACGAGAGCAAGGAAAAGTGTTTCACTAACAAACATCGAGAATCAAACTGCTATCTGAGTGAAACACTGGTCTGCTGCTCGCTACGCGCGTAGCAGTAATAACTCTCATTTACAAAGCGCTTTTTCTGTAATGTCCGAAAAGCGTTTTACAGCTTGTGTAAATGACTTCTTGGCGACCTGGATACCGGCGCTTTAGATAGAAATACTGATTGCAGTTGGAGACCTGCTTTTATGCTGTTTGAAAAGAAACTTTTGATCACAATTGGCCCCAAGCGCAGTTTAGATCGATCCTGATGAAAAATGAGACCACATTGTTTGAGATAAAATTATTCAATTAGCACAAACCGGTATTACGCAATAGATAAATGTTTCCATTAGAATCTATATAGGACTTACTCATTTGAGAGCAATACACTGGGGTAAGAGGCTTAACTTTTCGAAACAACTTCAAAAGTCAATTATAATAATCTTTATTGAGACAACTTTTTCATAAGATATGGTTTTCAAAAAGGATCTCATAAACAAGGATCCAGGTTTTCGTTTCACAGGAAAGTAACCACCTTTTGCTTTCATGATCCTTAATGCGACGCTACCGAACGGCGTTATATTTATTACTGCTCAGTCTGAAGCTGAGCCAGTAACTGCCTTATGCTACCGGTGCTTGACCAAAGGGTGTGATACTATCGTGAGTAAGTCAACAACGGCATTTTTTCACATCAAAATTACGGCTAACGTGGAGACCACTTTAAAGTGGTAGGGCTAAAAATCTGGCCAGTACAAAAAAAAAAAAATTAACGTCAGCGTTTCGCCACTTGAATTGCACTTGCGCGCCACCCTATTTACACCCTCAATGAATGTAACATAAACGTCCACACGTGTTATACTATCCAATATGGTCAATATGTTGAATAAACCTACTTAAGATTGCTACTTCTTAAAGTTGCGGTTCTCAATGCGAGAAACAAACATCTGTGCAACCCTATAGAGACACTGTCTGTTCATTGCTAGGTTGCTAAACCTTTCGTGATCCATCCTGGATAGAAGCCACGTCTTCAGACGCCGTGCAGATGAGAATAAAAGCTCCCCAGTATAGTAGCGCTCGTAGCAGAATTTTCAGCAAGCAGCTTACAGATATTTTGTTCTGGTTCTGGAAACTTTGACACTGCCAACAGGATTTCGTCAAAACACGATGTCTTCTCTTCATTTAACATATCTTCCAAAATGCTTAGTTGCCCAGGTAGCGCCCATGTATCAACATCTTAGCCTGAGAACGGCAGACGTTTCTCCTCGCTCATCTCTGCTGAGGGACGTTTCGCGAGGAGGGTTGCACAGGAGTTTGTTTCTGCCAAACTGGATAATAAATGCCAGCAATAAAAGTGGTAGGGCGGTCCCTTAATGATGGTAGGAAGTGCTCTCGTTGATGTGTGTAGAAGTATAATTTTTGGATTGACTCGCGGTGATGCTGAACACTACAACCCAAATGACACCGAGTTTGATCGAGAGACCTTTGGTTTCCTTCCTCTGGAAAGAACGGGCTTAGAATGGGTTATCAGTCCCGATGAAGAGTTGATTTTCCAAGAGTACAGTGAGAAAGAAATCAGTAGAAGTGCTGCCAATATTTCTTATGACAATGTTCTTGCAAGACTTATTGACGCCTGCTCGCCAGATGACCAACTTCAAGAGGATGGGACAAACAAGGACCAAAGAGTTAATAGAATCATGGAGTGGAAATAATTTACGCTTTGGAATTCAATGTATTTTGGATTCTTAATTTCCTTGCTGGGTGCAGTCCTGATTGGAGTGTTCTCTATCCTTGTGTATTATTTTAACTATCAAGTAATATTAGTTCGCCTGGCTCGACCGAAGGAATCCATTTCGGTCAAGATTCAAAGATCGAAAACTGCTTTTGAATGCACTGAAGCAGTTTTTATTCATCTTTCATTTTTTGTTAACACTCTCCAAGTTTTACTTTAAATCATATCAAATCAAGGGAATGAAAATTAAACTTTTCTTCGCTTTCTACGTAATACCTTAACGCATTGCTCTTCAGGGCCTTGGTACTTCTTATTCCGATTTAACACCTGTGCAAATTTTCAATTTATAGTATCCTTGGAAACGTGATATTTTTATTTAGTATGTGCGTGCAATCGTGGGCTCTTGCCAAGCACTTTTTCCATGCTGTCAGAAAAAAAGAAGTAAAAACGTTTCTTTGGATAATAGGGCGTACCCTCTTTACATTTATTGTAGCCACAGTGGTTGCTTACTTCATTTATCCTGAGTATAGCAGGCAAGATAAAACAGGTATAGTTTATATTGCTTTATTCAGCCCTGTTCTGAAAGCTTCCTCGCGCCTGTTTGTTCAGCGTTTATCTGGAACAAAACTTGGTATCCCTAGTACCACTGTATTATGGGTCTACCGTGGTGCTAAGGCTTCTTCAAGTGGATCTTAATAGTTTGAACGTAGTGGCTCTGTTTGATCGGAGTCATCCACGGCATTGCAGAGGTTATAGAAAAAAGTCTTATAGTCTTGATTGCACTAATATACATTTACCATCAGTTGTTTCAAAGAAAAATACTTCCTTGGGGAAGTTTTCCAACAGCTCGACGTGAGAGATTAGCGACAGACATCGCCATAATGAGTATTCTGTGTGAGGCGAGCGCTGTTATCTCCGTGAACGGCTTTCTTTACTTGCATGTATATTTCTACACTGTGGACTACTAACATTACTGGAATTGGTTCAGTCGTTTGCGATCACTACAGCCGTTCCACTGGTTATAGAGTGGTTCTTCACGTGTTTAAGTATCGAGACTCGGCATCAGAACAGGCCAATTATGGCAGTCTGGGGAAGCCAGTGGTAAAATACACTAACAGTGGCAATAGTAAATACATTGCCTATAACCTTTTGGTCAAGCCTTAATCTTTTGACCGCAATTGAGGGAATATTCCCTACTGTTAACGAGTATTGCGAGATGCCATTTGGCCATTTATAGAAAAGAATTTTAGAGGTTTTAGCTGGGTTAAGCTCTAATGGTAAGAGTGTGTATGATGGGAAACGAAAGCTTTTCTTTACTTTACTTTGATAATCCTTTCCTAATCTCCCGCCTTCCGCCAAGGCCAGAGCTGTCAATTGCAGGCGTTTGAAAAAGATAGAATTACATCGTGCAACTAGAAACAGGGTATTGCTTAAGGGAACTCTGTTGAAACTAATAGCGTTAAGTTAATGATTTAGTGTTCTGAGAGATCCTGATTGGCCGCTCCAATGTTATACGCAAAAGCAAACTGAGTGCACAACAATGTCAATGTGTCTTTCGAAGGAGGATGGGAAAAGAAAAAAAAGGGTTTACACGCATTCCCTTTTTCTCCAGAGGTGGAAACTTTCTATTGGATGAAAGGGGACAAGAGTGCCTTTACCTTGATGACGACCTATCACGAGGATGTCAGTGCGCGCGTAAAGGTATTTGTAGCAAGAAAATTAGCTACAGACTTCAACTGAAAGGTTGTAACAATTCTGCCAACTGCATTTAGTAAAACTCACAGCACCAGCTTGTCGTAACAGGAAAAGAAAGAATACGCGGAGATTCTGTACGGGCCTGGGGCAGTTTCGGCTCCCTTCCTCTTTAATTAGCTAGTATCCACGGATTTTCGGAAACAGACTACTGTATTTGGAATCGAATGATTTATTATTCACGGTTGGAAACTGATACTTTTCTTCCATCTAGAAACAAACTACCGGCGCTCTTAGGTTCATAGACTAGATCATGTCATCTGACTTGTAATACTGCAAATACTTCCGTTGTCAGCCATTTCATTATTTCAGCTTTATTTATCCTATCAAATGTAGTACATGTAGACGCGCCGCACATGAACGTAGCAAACGGCATAATAGTTCGTTCTGACTCTAATTAAGTCAAGGCTTAAAGCACTCAATAGGTCCCGCGATAGGAGTCTCGAATAGTTCTGTTTCGAATTAAAAATTACCACTGAATACAGACATTAACGACACATTGATTTCATACAGGGTTAACCTTGACATAAAGTAAAATATTCAGAAATTCCCGCAAGAAAGTGTTTGAATTTTGAATATAAACAATAGAGTGACAGAGTAATAAACAGTTCTTTTTCTCGTTGGAATTTGTGAATTTACTACTTCAGATGGAGGCTAAGCCTGTAAAAAATGCGTCTTCACTTCTTTACTTCAGCGGTCAGAGCGAACTCGAAAATGGACCATTATATCTGGGAACTCAAAGCTTATCTGACGGTCTCAGTTCTGGACTCTGAAAACGAAATACAGTGTGGTCATAGTCTGTAACGTTTTTAAAATTTACCTCAGTTTATCACTAGAAAGTGAAATTATAATGTTTTAACAAGGTTTAGTTTGTTCCGAAATTAGTAGTGCAAGAATAATTATCCGTCCTATCATTCCTGATCCATTCTAAAAAGAGTGATGTTTGAACCGTATGCTCCGATTCACATTATATCTATTTATACTCGAAAACCTGGAGCTTGCTGAGCATTTAGCTTAAGTAGCTAATGTGTCTGTTTTAAAAGAGAAATACAATTAAAGTAGTTAAAACAAAATTATAATCAACATTATATCAACTATTTACATGGCTAAAAACTATAGGATAATTGTAAAAACTGTTATTAGTTACATGATAACAGAACCGTGAATAGAGGAAATGGAAAAATCAAAAAACATTATACAAAACTGGTTGGCGCTGCATAGGTAACAGTGACATTTATGCGTGAAAGTATGTAACTATATGTCTTGAATAAATATTGTCTTAAAGTGTCTTCATATTAAAGCATTGAAGCTTTCCGCTGTTTCTCCCATCTGTCTAGAAATGGACAAATAGGCCACTTTACAGTTGTGGGCTTGGTGTCCTAGCCTTTGAGTGAACGTAAGGCTGAGGTTGACCTTGTTTTGAAACAAACCTCCTTCCTTTTCTAATGGAAATTTTGCTTAAAAGATACTAGTTAGCATAACTACAACAAGTTTTGCATAATAAAGCAAGAAGGGTTGTATCAAAACAAGGTCAACTCCGGCCTCGTTTGCAACTGTAACTGTAAAATGGGCTATTGTTGCCATACACAGTCAAAAGTTCCAATGCTTTGATAACAAGAGGAGATCTTTATCGAAGAGTAATTCATATAAGGTCAAGAATACGTAAGCAAACACAGTCAGGTCAAATATCCATCAATCGTTAAAGTCAGTGACTTCCGTATTATCCTTTTCCTGTCTTAGGCACATTCTTGTGATACGATGCAACACACCATTGTTTCTATAAAACCCTATTTTTATATATACATTGTCACTATATGTTAACAGAAATATTTCGTTTCTTGTATCAATAAGGCTCACATGTTCTAGCTGCTTCTGTAGTCTTCTTATTCTTTTCGACAATATCATTAGATGTGATATTGAATATGAAATTGCGACAAAATGTTTGATTTTGATCTGTGTCAGTAGCAACACTCCTTTATCGTATTTGGTGCAGAATCACCGGGTGAACGATAACATCGTTAATCTTGTGAACTGCATTCGCAGTAAGACATCTCCCTCTAAGCTAGTTCAGAACAATTGATAAATAGCCTTTACCAGTACCGTTTTATCTGAATGGTAGACGATTGAAGCTGAAACGGCAGGATACCTAAATTTTTTCGCTTTTTTTTTCAAGTTCCTATAAGAATGAATGACACTTAAAAGGAAAATGAATGACACATTTTCTCAGCAAATGTTCTCAGATAATTAGCAAACGATCACATCAGTTGCACATGTGCAGCAACAGTTACTACTTCTTTCATTGTTTGAAACCTTTGTTGCATCGTCATTGCGTCGTAAACATCCTTTTTAACCGCTCGAAACCTTAAGTGAAGATAACCGCCTCAACTGCTCAAAGTGCGGTACATGATTAATTAGGCGGCATTCAATCGTAAACGAATCAGTCCTGATATTTTGATCTGACCGGTATCAAAAATGGTTGGAAGTGCTCTCGTGGAAGTATGCGGAAGGATAATTTTTGGGTTAACGAGCAGTGTAGCTGAACATTACGACCCAAACGGCGTCGAGTTTGATCCAGAAACTTTCGGTTTTCATCTTCTAGAAACGGGCTTAGAATGGAACAGTCATCCCGTTGACGAGTTTATTTTCCAAGAGTACGGTGACAGAGAAGTCGGCGGAAGTGCTGTTCACCGCATTACAGACGCCTGCTCGGCAGAAGACCATGATGACTCACAGGATGAACAAGAAAAAAGCGCAATGGAGTGGAAGAAATTCAGACCTTCGAAAATACATACACTTTGGTATTCAATGTACTTTGGATTTTTTATTTCCATATTGGCTGCCACACTGGTTGGAACGTTCTCTATCCTTGTGTATTACGTTGCTTATCAAGTCACATTAGTTTGCCTGGCTCGACCAAAGGACTCCATACCATCGAAAATCCAATGGTCGAAAACCATTTCTGAGTGCATAGAAATCATTTTCATTCATCTTTGTTTTTTTGTTAATACTCTGTTTTTCTTTAGACCCTATCAAATCATCGGACTGAAAAGGAACCTTTTCCTGGTATCGTCCTTTTTTTACGTTTTAGATGCTGCTTATCGCATTGCTCTTCAGGCCCTCGGTATTTCTCGATCAGAGTTAACGCCTTTGCAAAGAATCCCTGGAAATATTTTATTTTCTTTTACTGTCGGCGTGCAATCCTGTGTTCTTGCTAGGCATTTTTTTCGAGCTGTCGTCGGACCAAGAAAACTAACATTTCTGTGGTTGATAGGATCTTGCGCTTTGACTTTTACTGTAGCTATACTGGTTTCTTACTTCATTTATCCAGCGTATAACAAGCAAGACAAAACAGGTAAAATCTATATTGCTGTGTTCACCCCTCTGATCACGGTTGTTTTGAAAGGTTCATCACGCCTTTGTGTGCAGCGTTTATGGAGAATAAGTCATCCAGGAACGTCGTTTCTGTTGCTTGTGCCTCTCTATTATGGGTCGGCTGTCGTTTTGAGAGTTTTGCAAGTGGACCTGAATACTTTAAAAGCCGTGGCTTTGATCGGAATAATCCATGGTATTGCAGAGGTTATAGAGAGAAGCATCGTTGTATTGATTGATTACATTAACCATCAGATTTGTGAAAGACGACGCATTTCTTGGGTAAGTTTTCGCACGCCTCGACGTGAGAGATTAGCGACAGACATCGCCATAATGAGTATGCTGTGTGAGGCGAGCGCTGTTATCTCCGTGAACGGCTTTCTTCACTTGCATGAATATTTTTACACGGACGGCAAAACAGTACTGGAATTGGTTCAGTCGTTTGCGATCACCACAACAGTTCCACTGGTTATAGAGTGGTTCTTCACGTGTTTAAGTATCGCTATCGAGACTCGATATC